GTATAACAAAAAGGTAGGAAAGAAAGGATGAAAAAGAAATAGCGAAGAGCATTTTCACTTGCCTTAATTGTCTACAGCAGCAATTTAAAACAATAATCAGACGGCGGCAGCGCGGCATAGGCACCAATTTTATGGATGCCGATGTGCCTTCAGAAACATTCCTTCACGGTCTCCATGGGATGGGCATTATACGGCATGGAGAACAAATCGCTCAAAGTAGGCGTGGTGGCCAAGGCCATGTTTTCGTGATGTTCGCGCCATTTTTAGTGGATTGTTTTAGTGGGGAATTTATGCCATGTTCACAGATAAAATGGTTCCCAATTGTTCCCAATTTTCAGGATTGATTTGTCGGAATCATTGACGGGATAGACCTATGATATATTATAGACCTTCCTTCGTTCTTAAGATTCATGAAATTTAAACTTACCAGTTCTGAACTTTGCGAAAGTTACAAAGTACCACGTAAATAACTAATGAATACACGACTGAAAAATATTTCTAGAAACATCAAAAAAGGAGCATGTACTGGTTTCAGCAGGCTCGATGCCTCCAGCAGAGGCTCAAAACAACCATGGCACCGCTTACCCTTTTCAGTAATGTACATTCTGTACTTGATCGCCTTCAAGGCTATACTTCGAGACCGCCTTCCTCATTTCTGACGACAGCTTCCCTCTTTAGTTCAATTATTAGTCGGATTCAACAAAGGCAGCGGAGCTCTTCTACTTTCTCGAAATTCTGGTCCGTAAGTGACCCTCGAGAGCGAAATAAATTTTCCAGCACTAATTCCTCTCGAATCTTTTCCAAAATGGACAAAAATAACAAGAAATTGGGGGCATGTGGGAGGCAATATTTCTTCAACAAATTTCGTTGAAGAATGCTAACCCGGCCAAGCCAGCAGGGTCGTTCAACTGCAGGAACGTTCAACTGTACATATCTCGAAATCCAAGTTCTCTTTTCCCAGAACCGATATCGAAAATTTCATGGTGCGGATGACTAGATTGATGTTAGAAAACCTTGAAATTATATTCGTTCCCAGAGGGGCCAAACCAATAATTTATGCCCCTTTGATCGCCAATTTTTCAACTTCGCTGGTTTCAGGAAAGATAGCTTTTCTTGCAGGGATTACCCACATATCANGAACATGCGTCAAGACCCAAGCGAATCTGGAGAATGGTCGACCACTTAAAGCTTTTCCCGAGGCCGTTCTTCATCCCGCAGCACACAGCATTTGGGCACAAAGCCAATGAACGTCAGTATTCTGCTCGATCGAATTTCATATTGGTATTTCTATCAGCAAATATGAAGCAGCTTAGTCCAATGCTCTTTTCATCAAGATGAATCCAGTGAAATTCCAATCTGATCGAAGAAAAGCTCAAGTCCTGTCCAAATTTAGTTCTATGATGTCTGGTCATTCAAAGACCTATGGTGTCCATAGCGTAGAGCAACTCAAAGAACTTCCGATGAACATCATTTACGCTCACTACACACAAGCGTTATGTGATCCGCTACATTTGCCCACTTTGGTTTTTACTTTTCAAGGGAAGGCAGTACTTAAAACTGAAAATTTGCAGTCATAGAAGGAAAACAAGGTAATTAGCATGTTCAGGCTTACACCCAGCGATGGGCAAATAGACTTCGTAGTCCACCTACGCAATCATAAATCTTTCCCGAAAGCCTCGTAAACTCTCTCTATCAAAGAAAACCTCTCCTCACAACTGGCGATGGCTGAAAAAACCTAATCTCACCAGCAGATTACCACCAAAGACAAAATAAATGACAAGAAGAATGAGACACAAAAAACTGATTCTATTTTTTCGAAGGGTACTGTGGACCACTTTTATTTCGACCCACAGCGATATTTCAGAATGTTAAACCAATAAAGTGAGTTGTACGGCCAGTCACCGTTTTTATCCTCCCAGACGGGTCTGCTATTTTACGACTTCAAAGAGAGAGAAGTTTAGCTTGGTTGACGGGATTAGGTTTGCAATTTGACACCTGGAGCAGGCTTCTCATAAGCGGCTCTGTCTATGGCTATAACAACGAGGACTTCAAGAAATCTACCAGTAATAATACTGCCTAAATTGATCTTCGTATCATCTGCAGTTCACTCATCACGACGAGTTTTCTCTGATTTCAATTCGGCACCCCGAAAACAGCCACCATCCAAAAAACAGGTAAAATTTTGGTTCAGGGACACCTCCCATCAGCAGAATCAGCCGAAAAGCTAAAAACTAGTAAAGAAGTAAGATTATTCCCAGAAACGTCTTTTACGTAACTGCCAACCTATGTATGAGACGTTTGAAAACCGTCAGCAACGAAAACACTTAGCAAGGCTATGGAGGAATGGATTAACAGAGTGTCGGCTAACGAGAAACCTATTTCGACGAAGGAATGAGCCCATGCGAATATGAAAACAACAACACATGGAAGCTGAATGCAAAATAAGAACAAATTGACTGGCTAGTTCTCCATTCTGTTCTGGAAAGCAAGTAGAAAAGAGCTAACTACAAGCTGGCCTATCTATCAAGAGAAATTCTCAATAATGTGGTGGTATGACGGTATGAACTAGATTGCGAACTAAATGCTCGAACTATAACCTTTCAGATACATCCTCCATTGGACCAAATTCGAACCTAGCTATTTTTCCATAAAAATTCATTTCCTCACAAATACCGAACTGTACTGAAGTATACAGTATCCCACATCCACAGTGACAACTGATAACCGGATTTAGCGCGTTGCACTTGACCATTATCCAATAGTCTGATGTTTATGCAACCGGAAGGGTAAATATCCTGTTTAGGAATGTGGTAGGATGACTCACGAGAAGATATTTGATGAAAAACGGGAGAGTAAAAGGAACAGGACGAGCTGAGATTCACGTAAGAGAAATTCTTTTATAAGGGGAAGATGATTAAGGCTCTATGAAACCTGCCTTATGACGCATAGCAAAAGGCAATTATGAAAATGCAGAACTCGAAGTTCGGGAGCGTCCGATACTGGGGCGGAGGGGAACAGTACTCAATTCAAACCAGTTATGGTTTTTGTCACTAATAGCGCCACTTTTTCGGCATTCATTAAACATTTTCCGTTACTGAATAATTCCCCATTCCTCAAAAAAGTGTTAGGCAGATCGATAGAAGGGCAAATCTACATTTCACAAATGCTTTGACCTACTGAGAAGTTACTACGGATTGGGTCATTTTATACTATTTCAACAAAACTCGAATGTAATACAGAAAATTCCTGAAGTCCGGCAACCGTGGGGTCAGGTTCTTTCCAACGATTTGTACGAGTTTCACAGAGTCGCCATCACAAGTGTGATGATGACAGTTGTGAAAATAAGATCGATTGCATGTGCCCCGGAAATTGCGGCGAACAAACGCAAATAAGCAGTCTCCTCTTCCCAGGCCATCCTTACAAATAGACTAATGACTACGGCCAAAGTAGAGAATTTTGACGGCTCAATACCAAAGAACGAACAAACAAACACATTACTGAACAAATGTAATGTTTCAACTGGAAGAAAAAGAACAAAATTGTGCCAGAAGGATTCTCTAAAAAAACATACTGTATGTATACGGTAGGAAGTAGTCCGTTCAAGACTTTTTCGAGCTTCCTATGTTCTCCAGTTGTTCAAATCTCGCTGGTATTCCAAAGTAATATGGGGGGAACTGGTAAACCGTTCCAGCAGTCTAGAGGCGCAGCTCGCGAAAAAAATGGTTCCGAACGGCCTGCTGGAATGAATCTGTGGCCTCTAAGTATGTCACACCCAGAGATGCACGAGTTTTACCGGTACACCATTTAGAAGGGGCACCCGGTCCGAGATTCGAACAACTAGTCAGGCCAACGGTGACAGTGGGAGGCGATTATGGATATTTTTGGCTTAATACAACCAGCTTTTGATGCATTCGCAAGAACTGAAATCTTGCCCAAATACGGCTTCGATAACATTTCCGTCATGGCAATCTCTACACCCTATCTCACAGATTTTGGCCGTTTATTTTTCGCTTTCTTCGCCACTGATGCATTATTCTTCACCAACCTTCAACTTTCCAATTCCAAAAGGTTACCCCAAAATTATCGTGAATAGTGGCTTTGAGGGTACTTTTCGCAATTCACTAACGGAAAAAGGGGAAATAATAACGGAAATGCATCAGCAACATGGTTTCGTTTAAAAGGCTTTTAACCCGAATTCATGACCAGAAAATCGTTGCTGAGAAGTGTGTGGGAGAATCTTACTCTCAGAATCAGTGTAATCCTCCGAAATACAACATTTAGCTGATGTCGAAAAACCGATAAGCTTATCACAGGACCTCATCTCTCTTAAAAACATCTTGCAGAGCATTTGTTTCCCCTTGGAATAACCTTTCCACAGTATGCCAGGAGAGCAGGGATAGGAACAGGGATTTTTACCGGCCGATTCTGCGAAAATTCAATTTTTCTTAAGTTATCGGCTACCAAGACCCTCGGAGGGCAAGATTTTTGGCCTGCTAAAAGAACCAACCGTCATACATATAAATTAATCATTTTAAAGAGGACCTAATGACCGCGCAGGTTGTTAAGGCCCATGCATGACTGCAAGTTATGCGGCAATAACTTATAGACGCTGTTTTNTTTTCAAGAAGCTTTACATCAAATGGAGAAAAGGGAATAGTGCGATGAATGCAGAGGGATATATGCTAGTAAAGGGTCCCACGGCGATTATTCAGACGTTCCTCATCAGCCCTCCGGCCATTGAGAACTCATAGAATTTTAGATTAGAAATCTCATAAGAAGAGGGGCATAGTGGAAAATAAGTGTCATCAACTACCAGGAATGACAACAAGTAGAATTCATTACTTATACGCCTCATCAATACATATTACACATAAACCTGTCGAAAATAAGCAAGAATATCAAGCGCCTTTCAAAAAGACGTTCAGTAAATAGCATCAAGAGATACAAGATGCAACCTATGAATGATTGGGAGCTCAAAGCTGAAAAAAAAGTTGACTTACCTCAGTGACTTCCTCTTCACGACCCCACTTGATGTTCCTGTGTCTGGGCGATCAGTGCATGATGACGATGGCGCATCTAAACACAATTTTTGATTAAAAAAACCAACAAAACAAGTAAAATAATGATTTTTCATCGCGTTCGACCTGAATGCCACGATGACCCAAGTTTCGTTTTACGCGGAGATATGAGTATCCCAGCATCATCGCATACACCTGGCGATGTTGGGCTTTCTAAGCCCGAATGATCGCTTTTCAGATCACGTGCGGACGTGGAAAACCATCGTCGTCTGAATGCGAATGACCATCGTTGACGACGACTTCCACCGCCTTCTTTAGATTTTGGAGGTGCTTCATCGCCTGATTGTGGTGAATCGACAGCCCGTGAACGGTGCATCTAGTTAGCCCAACGACAAGCACTCAAACGCTGGCTCGCAATCCGGATTTTGACAGATTTCTTCACAAATCCACTATAATTGCATCGTTTCACTTTGACATTCCTGGTAACTAATAGCGCGATAATACGAGAAAAAGTGCGACGGGAACAACAACAAGGCCACGAGCAAAATCAAAGCCGAATATTTCAACATTTAGATGATTCAAGCTTAAAACAGTAGGGTCCCAAGCAGGCTTCCAAACTCCTTCAAAGCTCGACATACTTCTTTGTTACATGCCGTACCACCAGTCATTCATTCTAGTACGCTGAACTATGTAGTCAGTTGCCCCACTGCAGTGCAAGCCATTCGGCATACTAGATCGCCACCCAAATTGATGCCAAATACAGTGGCAGCTATTTAAATCACAAAACTATTAAGCTTCGTGTAGGATAGAGTTTTGTATGAGGAAAACAGCCCACGAAGAAAATAGTGGACTCTTATTGAAGTTCAGTTCTGACTTTTGCCAAAAAAGAGTTACGAGCGCTCTCCCTGCAACCCTTGAAATAGGACAGACGTTTGACTTAGCCGGAGTTTAGCAACGTATAAAACGGTACTTGAGTCTCATCAAGTTTCCACGGCTTTATACGAGAAAGTAACTCTGACAAATCAGTTCCGAACCCTTTTTAGTTGTAAATGGCTGTCAGAATCGTGCTTTGGACTGGGACTATTGAATTCATGAGGCGAAGAGAACTGCCAAATAGAATATTTCTTACACAAATGTATCAAACCAAATAGAACCTATTTAATCGATACCGATGTCGTTAATGTACAAAATTGCTACCAATTCATGGTCAACCAAGATTGAAGGACTTCGTCGTGCACCGTAGGTTCACCACGAACTAGCAGAAGTATAGTATAATTAGAGGCCTGAAACCTACAACAAAATTCCTCTACTACTGTATCACGGAAACCCACGGACAATCATTACGAGTAGTGAATCATTGAAATCACATTATCTTCAGGATAGTTTGAACTTGAATTGAAGTGCCATTAAATTCAACTTTCTACGACAAGTACGCTTATACTAATGAATATCTCCGCGGATTTACTCGATGTAAAATGTCACCGTTTTGATGAGAATAGTACGATTGGCGATAGCAGTTGTGAACAACACCGAATTCTTTTTAATATCGCACGTTTGCTGAAATCGGGGATCGATTTGTTGTGTGTCAAAGTGTATCTGAACTGATGGATATGCCACAGAGATGGAGCTCTATTTTACGAGAAAGACAGCATATTACTATGAATTTCCACTCGAGCGCTTCGTTTGCTCCCACAACCAAAAGAGAAAAATCGTTGTCTATGGCTTAACATATCACGAATTTCGGGATGATGCTGTCATAAAGAATTATTCACCATTTTAGCGAATGCCCACCAAAATGAATGGAGATTAACAATCGCTCAGGCTAGCCGTTCAATGAAAACTTCTGCCAAGCAGGTGAAAAGGCAGCAAATCTGTCCATTTTAGTATCAAGGGTGAAGCCTTAAAAAATCGTTAAAGACCAATCCAAGACGAATTCTACGAAATAGACAG